CTCTTACAAAACATCGCAATCATGCAACCGATTACGTCATAATAGGGTTTCCATAACATTCAACTACTCAGGTTATCATAAATTAAACGCCCACCAGCGGCCGAGCGGTAAAGTCGCTGAACACTGGTAGTTCGTCCGAGGTTCGAATCCCGCGAACGGACTGGCTGCATGGGCGTTTTCGTGGTTTTCCCCATGTGTAACGTGTATACGAGCCAGTTTCCCTTAGAAAGTCCTCCACGAAAGGCATCCCTCCTATTAGGCAGATAGCCCTCGAGGCTTTGCCATCATCACACACACACAATATCATAAATTAAACAGCAACTTGGCGATAAATAAAACAACAACTTGGCGATAAACGAAACAGCAACTTGGCGATAAATGAAACAACCTAGCGATAATACAAGGGTTGCCCTTCAGTCTACTCTAACCAAGTTTACTAATATTTGTGTTTGTAAGTATGTTGGATGAAAACTTAATTTACATACTGCGAACTAAATAATATTTTAAGTAATTTTATTAGGCATAATTAATTCTAATAAAAATGGCTTGGTTTTTTTCAATATAAGACAAGTCTCATAGTGTTTCTTGACGTAAATAACCTAAGCTCCTTGGTTATGCTTGGCATTTTTTGACATTATTTACAATAAGCGCTATCCACCGTTAGGTCTTATGGATAAAAATTAAGATAAGAGATGCTTTGGATGTTTTCGACATTTACCTCAATGTGTCTGGGACTCAAGCGGTTGAATAAAGGGATCCCGAATTTATACTCTGTTCTATATTAAGTATAGAACACTATAACATAAGACATTTACCATAGGTACTACTAAACACTATCACTGTGTAATTGAAAATTCATAGCTTTTAGTATGTATAAGCCAATATTGAAATATTACATAGATGTTCAATATCAGTAACTATATTTCAAGAGTAATTCATATGAGCACATATTATAAGCAAAAAAAAGTATACAAATATAAATGGAGTTGCGTTGTGTCAATACTATGCAAAACCCATTCGTTTAAGACTAAATGGTCCAGTGTAAAAAACTGACCACAGAATTGAATACACCAGTAAAATATTCCAGTGCCAATAGAAAGGTCGAATCTGATCCTCTCGGAGGAGTAGAACTAGTGTTTCTCATAAAAGCTAAGAACAGAGATGCTCATTGGGGGGGGCAATTATTCAACCAGGAAGATTTAAAACCATTATGAATTTAGACAAAATAAATCTAAATGGTTTCCAGTATCTGTAAAGGAATATTTGAAAGTAGTAAAATGGTTTACGTTCTAGAGTTTGGATAGTTTCATCGAAAATACGAGAAAGAAATAGTTAGTGCAAGGTATCCTCAACCATGGCCTTACGAATTGTTGTGTAAACAATTCGTAAGGCATAAATTGCATAAATGCAAATAAGAAAGTTGGGTCTAAAACCCAAGTACTCTAGTTTAGATAACAGTCGCATTTTTTTGAAAAGATAATATGATATACTAGTTCGAAGGACTGATTATGACAAGTAGTTTTAAAGAAATTTAAGATGAATTCAATATAGAAATTAGAAGTAAGAGTGCGGATTAGAATGTACGAAATTGAATATGTAATATTTAATGAATCATGAGAGAGGTGGGGATAGAATTCCTTCTTGTGTTAAAGAAGATGCAGGACTTCAAAAATTGTTTAAATGATTTCTGATAAATACTATAAAGAAACTTATATTGAATGAAAATAATTAAAAGATAACAGGCCAAATAAATCAGATCCATTATAATTACGGGATCTGTCTGTAATTATAATGGAAAATGTTCATTATAAATGTATTAGTTCCATATGCCATACATATAACCATATGCCATATGCCATACATATAAAACTTCTTCAGTTCTTTTTGTGTATTTGTAATGATCAAAGTACTAATTTTGACTTTAACACAGGTTGTATTATGGTATGATAAATGTGTAAATTTATTATATTTTATGTGTAGTAGTATGTGCATGCTTAAGTCTAAATAAAAATGGTCTTTCAGTCATCCTAGGAGAGCCTTATTATGCCGATAGAAGGTTAATTTAAAGGTAATAATTACTCCAATTAATTCCTGCATATGCCAGTTAGGACATGTAAGTTAAATTCCAGTCTTTTACGTAAAGTCCTTTCTTCCTCTTTTTTTCTCCTTCCCCTTTTATGCTTTAAAATATTTTAATGAAAATCAGTTTTTCGTTACTGTTTCTTGCATGAAAAATAAATGTGTCTCCCCGAGATTATTGTGATATTTATCGATACCACTATATTAAATATTCCTTTTATGACATTTTTATGACGCTTTGTGTACCTTATAACAATCTTCTCAACGGAGGTCTTCAGCTCAAGGAGAAAAGTTAAAAGAACTGAGCTGAATTTTGATCAATGTAAGATTGGTGTATCCAAGCTGTAATGAGAGACTTCTGACAAATATCACCCATGATTCTGCTGAAATCTAATTAATGACATCTCAAGTAAATCTCAAGAATATCAGCGAATCTGCACTGAAATCTAATCTACTATGATCTAGGAGCTACAGAAGAGGTTCTGTACTAATGTGGGCTGCAGAAGATATGCATGATGTCTCAAAAGCACTATGTACAAACCCTGAGGGAAAGTAGAAGACATCGATATAAGCCTTATAAATATAGAACATTTAGTCAGAAATGGATAGGTAGCGCTGTGCGCCAGCAGTTCAGGCTCGCATCTGGGGCTTTGTCGTTAAAGTTTGCGACATCGCACGGAGAATATACAATGTTTTACTAACGTTAAATTGGTGGAAATACTCTTCATACATCGTTGTGACGATATATGTAACCTTATGAGACGAGCTAATATACGAAATTTCTTGCATTTTTGAAAATCTTTGGCAATGCATGCGGTGTCTATTTCAAGCAAACAACACTGCTAACAGACAGAAATTTGATCACCTCACATGAAACCATATTCTGTGTCTTTAGTGTAATTATGTTTTTCTTTTGAAGCAGAATGACATAAAAAATAAGCAGTGCCTTCGCTGGGACTCAAACCTACGCACCAAGGGTGCTACTGTTACACCACGAAGGTATGCAGAAAGGACGGAGAAAATACCTTATATACTCTCCCTTTTACAGGGCGACTGGATATTAGATCCACCAAATCCTGGTGGTGAAGTATCATGATCCACCACCTTTTTAGTTCCGGCACTATTATAAAGTCATTAGGTTTTCTGAAACAGGAGACATTAAAAATGAGCAACGCCCTTGCCGGTACTGGAGGATGGACCTCTCGAATACGTGCCAAGTGTGCTACCGTTACATCATGAAAGCATGCTGAAAGGAGGGAGGAAACATCTTGTAAGATGTTTATGTAAAATGATGATGTATATGTAAAATAGTGTATATATATATTATATAATATATATATATATATACCATTTTTCGACTGTAAAATTTTCCTAATAATTTACTTTACGTACCGTATTGTTGTTTACTGTGTATTTGAGTCTGCAGGTCGCTAGTCTGATCATGCTGAGCGAATATGGTTCATATCAATATTTTGTACTCCCATTAAAATTTGTACATGGCTTTTGAGGCACAGAGCTTTGAATGTTACAAGGTCAAAATTCATTCATGCAAGAAAAACTCGTCTGAACTCAGAATGACATTTTAAAATTTAACTAAGGCTTCAGATATTTAAGAAAATCGTAAGGAAAATGTATGAACTTCGAGATTTTTTTGGAAAATTGCATTTATCAACAAAAATATAGAAAATACTCTAACTTTTAGAAATTGAATATTTGAGAAATTTTTAACCACTCATTTATTTTTATAATGTTTAGATCGCAAAACATTGCGCTGTTCAAAAAAGAGCAGATGTCTGGTTTCTCTTGTTTGATTATAAATTGTAATGTTGTCGTATGGAACTCTGCTTAAAGTCTTATCTCCATCTCCTGTCAGAGACTTGTATGTTTAATGTCTTATCTCCATCTCCAGTCAGAGACTTGTATGCTTAATGTCTTATCTCCATCTCCAGTCAGACACTTGTATGCCAAAAATATCCATGATGGGCATTATTAATGAGGACACCAATTATTAACCAGATTTTACGCTGCTATTAATGCCATAATCAACAATGAGGATTCATTTTACTTTTCGCCTTCATTGTGTGATAGTTTAACCTTGGTCCACAAGGAACTCATTAATGTCATTAACTTCAATACCAACCAGACATGTTTCCTTTGATATATCTCTCACATTTGTTTGGTTACGTTGTAGGCACTAATTTTAAAATACACTCTGTCGAAAGGCTAATGGAAACAAGCAGGGATTGATACAATTTTAATACTTCACCTTATTTTATTTTTTGATTCTTTAATTTGGCTCTTCGAACCCCAGTGTGTATATCTATCTAGATTTCTAATTGTTTATTATAGTGTTCTAGTAACATGGTTCTTTTTCTTTCCATTTTGTATTTATTCATTAAATGATATAAATTTTGGACCACTACCACTTCAATATATCATTTCGTTCTGTACCAAAGCATTTTTAATACCATTTGGAAGCCGTCTCTGTTTAGAAAATTGGTCAAAGATATGTGTGTGTGTGTGTGTGTGATTATGGCAAAGCCTTGAGGGCTATTTGCCTAAAGGGAGTGATGCCTTCGTGGAGTACTAAGGAAAACTGGCTCGTATACACGTTACACTTGAGGAAAACCACGAAAACACCCATGCAGCCATCCCGTTCGCGGGAATCGAACATCGGACCGAACTACCAGTGTTCAGCGACTTTACCGCTCGGCCGCTGGTGGGCCTGGTCAGAGATATGACTCGTACTGATCTATGGGGAGGAAAAAAAGCGAATCAGGCTTTGAAATCATGTAGCTATTCACACTTGTGTAGTTTCATAAACTGTGCTGAAAAACGAGTTTAGCAATTGCTGAAATTACATAAGGATATCAACTGAATACAACAAGAAATTAAAACAGTAGTTTATTAACAGCGTTTGTTTTACATAAATGATATTAAAATAAAGATTTTAATATTTCTAGTTCCATGTGATACTTTTCGGCGTCAATAGATAGTCCATGAATAACAAGCCACATCCGCAAGCCATCTGTTGCGCACTTTTCTTTTGCAGTTCAGTTGAACACAGGATAGGCACACACAGTGCCACTTTGACTACGGCAAGGAAACGTCATTTTGTCTACGGGATGAATGTGATGGCATATGACAGAACCACCTCTAATTTGCGGATGATTGACATAACTAGCTATAGCATGTCGAAGAGGGTCAGGGATTTTTGAACTAATTTTGGGCAACTCCAATGTGCCATCAGGAAGATATTGTGAACAATGGACTACATAGAAATTGTTAACTGAAAAATAGTAAGAATTAATGAATGTTTTTAGAATTTAAAACATTGAACAAATAATGTGCTAATATATATATATATTCAACATAAAACTTAACACTGCAATTATACATCACAGAAACACTGCAATTCTACATCACTGTATTTACTAAGTATGGAAGTTGAAGTGTTTTGGGAAGCACAGACGAGGGATTCTGAACACATTTCTCTTTTTCTTGTCTTTAAGCAAGTAAAAAACCTTAACTTCTGCTCGTGAAAGTAAGAAAGGACTCATACTTCCTTATTTCTACTACGTCTTTTTTAGCAGTAACAGTACGACTATTTGCTGTTACAATGACTTCATAAAACCGGATCGAGCTTAAGTGAAGCTGCAGTCAATAATAAATTTCATATATATTTTTATAATTTTTAATGCATTTCTTTCTTTCATTACTATAATTTATGATTCCTTAGGCGAGCTGAACCATCAAACTGTTTCTTTAGAAAGGTATCTAAAGTCTTAGAATTTATGCAACAGAACATACTAAAGTACAATGCAATGTTTAGCAATATGTATGGTAGTCAAATAAAGTTGAATAAGGAATTAAAATAAAAAAAAATAAACTCCCATGGATTAGTTTAGCCATTGATAACCGTTTACCCGGTTTTTGACCATAATGTAGCATATCTATAAATAGTAAGCAAATCACGAACGAGTAAAATGACTTTATATTTAATTACAGAACAGAAAAAAAACACAATCTTAGTTTTTCTGCTTCAGAAAAATATCAGTCATATCAAGTTTTCCTTGAAAATGATATTTTTGTGCTCTGAATTGCTAGTCATTGATTTCAAGTAAGACTGTTGTTCTCGCTGAACCTTGCAGAATATCGCTTGTATTCTCCTATTATAGTCTTTAAATCTTTAGTTGGCAATAATATATTCAAGTGTCTTTGTACTAGATGCTATAAAGTATTGTAGTGGGTGTTCTATGTACTTCTGGGTGTTGTGTCTGTATAGCTCCTACATCGCTGCTTTTAAGCCCGACGTATTCTGGATTTAGCTTGATGATCAATTGAAAGATTCTAACTTTTGCCAAATTACATCTTTCAGAGCTGATGCAGCGTTCTTGCAAATTTACAATGGGTGCGCTTTTCCTCGCTTCTTGCAGGCCTGTTAAGACTTGCAGCCATGGCTCAAGTGGCCAAAAAAAGTGAACTCATCTGAAACTCTACAGTTATGACAATAGATAATTTAAAAAATTTTCCGAAGGGCCAAAACGCAAATCTAAGTATTATTTTATTATAATCTTTTACTTTGGAAAATAATTTTTAACCCAGATTACCACCCCTTTTCTCCTACTATTAACCTCTCGAGAGGACTTTCGGTTCGCCATTTATTTGGACTGCCCCCCTGCGGCAAAGATATTGTACAATTTCAACTATCCATGCCTTCTCTGGGATTCGAACCCGAGACCTTCGGTACCATATTAGGCTCTCTCCTGCCCAGACACAGCACTTAACAGCCTCAAGCAACCAGGAGCCAGATTCTGGCCAAATTGGTTCCAGAATCTACAAAGTAACAGAGTTGCCCAACGGAAACTGAAAACAATAATTGACTACTGTACTAGCAGTTACTCTTCTGACGCTAGAAGATAGTAGCCATAAAAGTCTATATAACTTAGTTCAATATGTCAGCAACAGAGTATGTGTTATGTATGTGCAATATGAAATTTTGTATTTATGCTGTGCCAGGTTTTCATACACAAAGTTCACACTGTATCTGAATGCTGTAATATATCTGTATATGTTTATATCTTTTATTTATGGTACCTAATTTATACTAAGGATTACGCGTACCTCAATGGCATGCTTCATGTAAACTTTAACTATCATTATAACGCATATATATAGGTATATATATTAATATGAGTGAGAGTATGTATACTTTTATTTGTTTCGGAATATATATGCATGTAAGTATGTATATATCTGTATCTGAGTTGGTATCTATATGTATATACATATATTTTGATTGTACTCTTCTTCAAGTGCCTTGTATGCACATGTATATTTCTTTGTACATTGTTGGATTCTTCTTCAAGTACCTTGTATGCACATGTATATTTCTCTGTACATTGCTGTATTCTTCTTCAAGTGCCTTGTATGCATATGCATATTTCTTTTTTGCATTTTATAAATGTTGTCTGCTCAGCCGGGTATTCCCAGGGCTGCGGCCTGGCAGCTAGTGGTTGACTCCGGCTGAGTTGGTAACTATTTCTGCATGGATATATCTATACCTGGGTCGGAAATCAACTCAGCGGTTTAATTCCCTAACCACTATACTGTCTGGGCGACCAGCCACTGATATAAAATTTATCATGCGTTGACAGGAATAAATAAATGTCATCAGGTAGTTATTTCACACTACACATAATCACACACACATATATATGTTACTGTAAAAGCCCAAAGTCTGGTAAATCCTAGGTTTTACCGCTAAAACTTAGCTTTTACCAAATAGGCTTGGTAAAAGTTCGAAGTATGCTTTAATATGATTCTATTTCGAACTTGTACCAAACCTTTACGGTAAAACCTAGGAATTATCAACGCCTTCCTATAAAACCCCGAAGCGAAGGATTTAAATAGACCCTGAATAAACCTGCGTCGTGACAAATTTATTCCAAATTTCGTCCGTCGTGACACTTTTATGTTCCTCTTCCTTCTTATTTGCGCCATTTGCAATCTATCTTCGAGCGAATTCAAACAAGTGTAAGAGGCTACGATCTAAAACAAGAGAAGTTTGTTTTCATTTAAACTTGTTTTGAGTTTTTTATTTAGCTGAAAGGAAACGAGTGATGTTATGCGGGAAAAGGTTTACGACATTTAATCTGAATCTGTAAAAAATAAGCACGGTAACAACTTTTATTTAACAAATAAGAAATACACTTCTTTAGTAAATGGAGTGAAAGAAGCAAAATGTGTGAAGCAAAAGTTTTTCCACTTAATTTATCTAGTAACATGGCCACTGAAGAGTACTTAGAAAAAATTATAAATACTAATAATGAATGCATGGTTAATACAGAATATGAAGTCACCAATCTCGAATAAACAGCTTTTTTAAAATCACAAGATAATAATAATAATAATAAGTTTGGTAGATTAAAATCGTTGTACACAAGAAACCAGGTTACGTTTTGCAAAGAAAATGTTTTAAATATTGAAGAAGTTGATAAAGAAGAAATAAGTGTATATGAAGTAGTAAAAAAATTTCTTTAATTGGATGACAAAGAACTCAGAAATTTCAACTGTTCAAAGAAGTCTACTACGATGTGTTTATGCAAATAAGCTGATCTGCTTTATAATTCGAAATGCCAAAATAGTCAACCTTGTTGTAACGGGTTGTAAAACGTAGTAGATGTATTGAAGAAAAAAATCTACATTGTTCTTATTTTATAATTGTATTAATTTTCCCTGAGCTATCAATTTAATTTTTTAACTATTGACAAAATTATGTTTTAAATATTGAAATTTCTTAGTTATCGAGAGAATTGTGCATTAGTTCAGGTTTTTCACATGCAATCTTATTTGTGAAATGGCATAAATATTGCATTTTTTATTTTTATTTCTTGAAACCCTTTGAAAATAATTGTAACCAGTTGTAGGGCTTTCCTTATTTTGCATAAGATATTTATTTTAAGTTTGCATAAGATATTTATTTTAAGTATACCTTTACTGAACTTCTCAACTTCCCCTCACATTTGATCCGCCAGTATGAAAATCTAAGTGAAGAGCGTATTTAAACAGGAAAATCTCAGAAAGAGATCTATCTGAGAGTGAGTAATAATAATGATAATCTGAGTTACTCAGAGTTAGTTTTCGCTAGCCAGCGCACGTTTCCTTGTTGTTACGCTTTACGCTAGTGCGCCTGTTGGCCATTTCAAATTTATCACCATGCCTGTTAAGTTTTTGTGTGTTTACTTGTTAGACGTAACTTACGTGCTATCCAGTACTACTTATTTTATATTTTTTGACTTGAATTATATTTTACGTTTTTAGTTTCAACGCAAGTTTGACGGTGCATTTTAAAGCACGAAAGATCATGCCTTTCTGTTAACTATTTTGAATTGTTATTGTCATCCTTCTTCTGTGCTGGTATTTGTTCACGTCTGTGCGAGAATTCGCCATATTCAATGTAAGATCTAATTTAGTTTATGTGGAAAAAACAGTGAAAGACCCTACAAGTGGCACCCGAACTAAAAGGTGATGAATGATGATTCTTCACAAAATCGCCAAATCCTGATGATCGTTTCCGGTTTTTATCGCCATATCCTATTTTTCCCTGGACACGTTTTATGAAATTTTTACCTTCAAGTTTTACGTGATTTATACGAAGGACCATTCGTATGTTGCACGGATTTTTCGCGTGCAATGCATACTGCCTGGTTTGGGTCCTCTAATACCTCAGTTGACCTATAAAAGGGGGAGTATATAAGGTATTTCTCCCGCCTTCTTAGCATGCCTTCGTAGTGTAGTGGTCAGCACTCTCGGCGCGTATTCGAGAGGTCTGTCGTTCGAGTCCCGGGGAGGGAATTGCTCATTTTTCACATCCCCAGCTTCAAAAATACCTAATGTCTGTACACAGTTTCATCAACATAATCTTAAGTCATACGTTATTTTGATCATTTTTACAATTTATATTATCAATTTAAAAGTTAAAGTGTGCTTTAACTTTTTTTGGGGAACACACCGTATACAATATATCTGCGAATGGGAAGTCCTATCATAAGTAATCCCTCGTTTCAGGCTTTTACCGTTGGTAACTCCTAGGTTTTACTGCAGAGACTTAATAAAAGTCCGAAAGGGAATCATACTAAAGCATACTTCGGACTTTTAACAAGCCATTTTGGTAAAAGCTAGGTTTTACCAGTAAAACCTAGGATTTAGAAGACTTCGGGCTTTTAGGCCCTTATCTTCGTAAGGGAAGAAAGATCACGTAACCGGTTACTGAGTTGAAGGAACAAT